TTAATAAATTTGTAAGTTTTAACTCATTACCTTATAACATGACATTTTTAACTCCTCACATATATAAATTAAAAAAAGTAACCCCTACTTAGTATCAAGTTATAACGTTTTTTTAGTTTTATTAGTTGATTTTTAGTTATGTTAGCATCCGTTAGCATTCTGTTATAGAAAATATAAAATATAAATTTAATTTTATTTGTTAATTCTTTTAATGGAACACTAATGAAATGCTAACATTCAACTAATAGAGTTAACAATCAAGTAACAGAACTAATAAAACAGTATAACTTAATTTTAAATAATTATTATTTTTTTCAATTTGTATAGTTGAGAGGTTAAAAGTGTCATAGTTAAGAAATGGCTAAAACCTACAAATTTATTAAGATAGAGAGTTAAAAATATTATAATATGAGATAAAGAGTTAAAACCTACGAATTTACTAATGTAAATAACTACAAATATATTTTAACCCAAAAATTAGGTGTATTTAACAATTAGTTTATGAAGTCTGGTGCAAATAATAATAAAAAAACTTGATATCTACTTCTTACTACAAACGTGAACCCCATCCGAGTCTGATATCATCTAATCATGTTGATGCTAAATTCTGAAATTACGACGTTAGCAAGAAACAAAAATCAAAATTATCATCATTTATTTTGTTTTATTTGTACCTTATTTTCCCCAAAATTAATATGATTTCTCATTAAAAAGAGGAACTTTCCTCCCAAGAAGCATTCCTCCTCAGAGATGATTTTGTAGGGAAAGTAAGAAGGTAGGCTTTTCCTCTTCATTCTGCATATTGCATTGGCAACATAAAGGGGTTAGTTAATGAAGTGGGGAAAATATAATTTTCCCACATTTATAAGCAATCAATTTCTTCTTGCCACCATTCTAAATTCAACTCAAGCATTGAAACGTCTCAAGTTTCTCGATTAGAATTAATTATAGTGAGAAAAGTGAAAAAAAATAACAGAAGTCCTTATGAATTTATGAAATTATTTCAATATTTTTAATAAATTTTTTATATGTTAATTTATTAAAAATATTCAAATAATATTTATAAAAATTTAACATTTTAATTTATCAAAATATTTTAATTTTTCACGATCTCAATTTTATAGAACACCAAAAA